GTTTATTATGAAAGTGGTGCGAGTCCATTCTTCTTTTTGCCCAAATATACATACGATTCAAGAATACCGATGAATTTTATCGATAATAAATTTTCCCAAGTTTCTATCAATTTGAATACATGCAAATTTATTATACAAATGATTTTTTATAAAAATGAATTAAAGCAATATTTCTGTTTTATTAATTTGCCAAATTTGTTTTCCCATTGTTTAAACCAATATTTCCCAACCGTAAATGGACTCACACCACTCGGAAGCCAAAATGATTAACTCCACTTTTTGAAAATCTTCCAATTTTAGTATCAGAACACACGCTTGACGCTCAACTCTTCTTAAATAAAAAAATTTAGTCACTTTGGCTTCCACCCATAGCTCGGTGCACCGCGACATTACTTCATCGTCCGTTTCACCTGTCTCGTAATCTCCTTGAATATTTCCCCGGGAAAACTTCTCTACCTTGCAGCGATAACACACTCGGCCAGTGTTATCAGCGCGTTCCTCTCTTTCCCGCGACGGACATCATCCCCACGAGAGGAGCTGCATCATCAGCGCGGAAGAGAATCGATTTAAAGGGCTGGCGCAAGCGCTCGAGGGGGTGGCATACACCGCGCCCCTGCTTGGAAACAAGAGAACTGGCAAATTTGATCAAAACAAACCAGTGAGCATGGACACTAAGTAGCTTTTAGAGATCCATTGAAAAAAAACACCACATTCATCGATAGTGATTTAGCCAACATGAGCCCTGGACTCGGACACGATCCTCTTCCTTCGTACAATATCACCGCGTTAGGTAAATTCCAGCATGTCTGCTCGTTCTCTCTCTCTCTCTCTCTTGCATGAGTTCTCTCCGTGTTGAATAATACCTCGCTCGATGTAGTTTGCATCAGGTTTTTCTGCGTGTAGGTATTAACATTTTCGGTTGTTTTCAGGTAACACGGCACTCTGCCTATGGCAACAACCGCAGCATATATTATTTCAATTGGCCAACTTCTGCTTTGCATTGTCGTACTCAGCACCATCCTCGAGAAAAGGGATATTGTTTATGCATTCTGTGTTGATTATCGGTAAGGATGTGTGGTTTGTGCATTTAACAGTAGAACTACCGGTCGTGTCAAAATGACACGTTAGTATTCAGATTTCGATAGGGGTGAGTATTGTCATTTGTAACTTTGCGATTTCATTTCTGCGTGCGTGCTTCTATTTGTGCCGATAGGAATTTAAATTTCTGATTACGTTTCACTTATGTACAAATCCATTTTTGGGAAGTTGCTAATTGTCTCCCGGCTAGGGAGAAAAATTCACTTTACTTGGCTGAAATCTCAAGGAAACCCTACTCGAATGTATTCATCGGTATTTGCATACACCCCCTAAATATCTGACTTGAAATTACATACTAATATACACTACCGGCCAAAATTCCAGAAAAAAGTCAGCGACTTTGAGAACTTTTTATCGTTCGAATCAATTGATATGAGATAAATTGATAAACGTAGAATTGAGATAAACTTCAAATTTATAAAAGATTAGTAGCAGATTTAATATTGATGAAAAGTGGGAGGTGTTTCCAAACTTTTGGCCGGTAGTGTAGCCACCGCTACATTAAAATCGCGATATATACTGGAATTCTAGAAAAATTCGCTTTATTTGGCTGAAATCTCAAGTCATTTTCACCCGGCTGGTAGTTCCAGGGTTAATATTGTGTTGTAACGTGTACTTCTGGTTGTTACAAGTGGGGTATGTGTATTGGAAGAACGTAATTTTATTCGTGTGGATATTTGTAGGTTTCTTGTTGGAGGCTGTACGAATAAAGTCGTTTGCAGATTGCAATGTTTCTAAAAATTTACCATATTCTGTGGTCTGTATTCACAATAACTTTTGTAATTAATGTTTATAATATTATTGGGGAATTGTGCTCCAACCCATTTCAATCTATGAATATTTTCCGAGCCAGAGATAAATGAAAAATCAGTTTCCCGTCAAATTCTTTTACTTACACGCCGTATGATATGTTAATCATATTCATACACAGCAAATTTAACGTTTAACATAAACAAAATTCTCAATTTTTCGATTTTCGAACACGGACAATGCGAAACGCGCAATTTAATTAACGAGAAAGTAAAAATCCTCACTTTAACAGGAAAATTAGAAAAGTTATCGTTGCCACTATTTTCAACATAAGTTTACAATTTGTTGCTAACTATTGTCACGTGTTTGTTCCAGGTTTCATGCTACTATCTGGATGGGCATGGCACGTAATCTGCGCACCGGACATATTCTCATGGAACTTCAGTTTCTTGGTACTGAACATCGGTCAGCTGGTTTACATCGTTTATCAAATGAGACCGGTTCGATTCGACCCTGAATTAGAGGAGGCCTACCACACCCTCTTCTACCCATTTAAAGTGAGTACTACGAAAAGTTCGTGAGCAACTTTCGAACAATTTTGCACGCGTTTAGCATACTTTGCAAAGAAAGCTACTCACGCGACTTAATGCTTTCGCGTGGCTAGAGGTGATCAAGCAACCTTAACGGCAGGTCATTTCCTTTGCTGTGTAATTTAGGCATGGTAAAAGTTTCTAAGAATGATTGCAAATGATAGATTTATTGAAACAGTGCTTGAGATTATCCAGCTTATATTTGGAAGAAAGCACCTGTGTACATCGAGTACGTAGAATTAAATGAATTCTTTGTACTCAGGTGAAAGAAAATTGACAACAATTTACAATGTCACTAGATTCGACGAAGGTCTCAATTATTTTCATTGAAAAATAACGTAAAGTGATAACACTTTCGAATATTGCTCTAATTTTTAAATTACTTGCTTTGAAAGAATGTAACTCGGCAGAAATTCTGTATCCCAACGTGATGGAAGTTTTTTGCAAGATTAGCTGTATTGAATAATATAGTCGGACAGAAAGCGTGTTTCGAAGAATGCTACCTGAGTCATTGTCGGTAGGGCAGTACAAGGAAACTTGCGAGGGTGAGAAAGGAACAATGGAGGTGTCGTAAATTCGCGTACCATTACTGCAAGAAATCTAGTGCGGTCGTAAATTAAACCCTCAAGTTGTGTCGTCCGTTCGTACGATAGGACTTAGAGCCGTATACCACATGCTAGTGTATTTAATTTTCAAAAGTAGTAAAATGCCGACGGTTTTGAATACCTGGGAAATAGGAGGATTTGGTTACACCCAATTTCAAGCGGCAAGTTGAAATTATTACTATTAGTATTATTTTATTTGTCACACGGAATTTTCTGTTATCACACTTTGGAAATTTACTCGCACTATACTATATTTTAGTTCACGTCCACCTTAATTTAGTCCTCAATTTTGTCTTTCAAATACTTTCACCTTAATTTTTAAATATTTATAATATTCAGACATCTAACGTCTATCACGTGCGTTACGTACTAAAATTTGCCGCAGAGAAAGGGTTAAATCGTAGTATATATAATTCCTTACACGTAATCAGCTGATTTATTAACAAAAAAATTGAAAGAATATATTTTCCGCAAATCTGTCCACACATTTCCTTTGTTAATTACAAATATAAGCACTTGCAGATTTTACGATAGCGTTATGTTCCTTCCAGTAACTACACATCTTCTTCTACGATGATAAAAAAGGCTGTTAATCCGTGCAGACGTATTTTTCCCTGATTTATGTAGGCTATTCGGACAAAGGTGTTACAAATCCGTGAAAATACGTTCGTTATCGCTCGTTCTTTGCCTTCTGTCCGAAGGCACGACAAGTTTCGGTCGCGTGGGAAATCCTGAAATAAAATTGACCAAAACAGGGGTGAATAAGTACTTATATACTAATGAGCTGTGATGAGTGTTTTGCTCTGTATAGTAATAATAGGAAGTAGAAATTCCAATTGCCCTTTGGTGCCATTTGCTTTGTAAAAGTTTTCGTTACACTTTATTAATACATGAATCACTTTCTTTTTCAACGTGCTTATAATGTTATAATGCTTATAATGAACGACGGTCCAGTTTTGGGTGATTAGGGTTTACGACGTTGCGACATTACCCGGGTGTACCCTTTATGGTCACGTTGTTACGCTCGACTTAATGACTAATCGCAAGGCTGTGTTATAGTAAATTTGAAATGAACAGTGTTATGTACTGTATACAAAAATATTGAAAATTGTAATATTTATTAACACGTTCTGTGCCGGACCGATTTTCGGTGACTTTCCGTTCACGCCGCGTGGGTCGTATGTCGAGACTAACAGTTTTGCTTTTCGCTCTGTATGTCTTCCAATATTTATAAGATTGCAAAAATCATTGTTATCGAGAAAAAGATATGCTATAGAGCGAAGGAAAAATTTTTGTTTTAACATATTATCGCCGTAGTTGCATAGTTTAAGTCAGCGGAAGGAAGAGGCCGAAATATCAGATGGCCTGAACGGAAAGACCAGAGTGGGGCGTATGCGATCCACGCGGCACGGGACGTGTTAAGGAATTTTTGAGGATACTTGTTACACGTGTTAATTGCATAATATGTAGTTATAGAAATTAGAATTTCTTCAAATGAAGAGACTAATCATTTTTTTGCGACATTTCTGTTTAACATTTATTAAGGAATTCTTGAGGACACTCGTTACATATGTTAATTATGTATGTAGTCATAGAAATGAAATATTCCATAATTGAATTAGTTTCAAATCTTTTACTATATCTCTATTTTCCTCCTTGGGACAATTTTCACGGAAAAATGTGAAATTTCAGCGGAGTTATGTTCATTCCCAGTGAGTAGTATAAAAACGCGAGAAACGCAATGTTAAAACGATCGAAAAAAATTATTCGTTCTGATTTTCTGATAAAACAGGTATCTAGACTGCAATTCAAAAGGTTGGTGTCTCCAGAGTTTGCATCGATAATGTCCTTACACGCTGGTGAAGCATACGCGATGCAAAATTTAACGCGGACCGACAGACTGGGTCTTTTGCTCAGCGGTAAAGTGAATGTTCTCAGCGATTCGAATTTTCTGCACCCAATTTCGCCTTGCGAGTTTCTAGATTCACCTGAATTCGAGAGTTCCCGAGCGTCCGTCGACGATAAATTCAAGGTAAACAAATTCAACGGTTCCTGTTATATTCTCCTATAATAAATAAACTTTAAAGTTAATTTGACACACTTCACACTCGCTATTTTTCCATCTGTTAAATGCGGCTATTAAAAATAAAGTATTCACATATTTTTGAAACGTTTCAAAATATTTTTTCACCACGTACATATTCTGCTCGAAAAGTGTCTTTAAGTCTCTTTAAATAATAGCAACTCATTTTTTTCCCCAGGTGTCGATTGTCGCTGCAAGTTCGTGCAGGTATTTATATTGGCAAAGATCTGCTTTAGAGTATCTTCTCGTTAAAGAAGCGTATCTCGCGACAGTTTTAACAACGTTAGTTGCCAGAGATATCGCGACGAAAGTGTACGCTATGAACAACAAGGTAACAACAGCTGATTGATTACATCGCATGAGAAATTTGTTAAAAAATTGCAATTAGTACTGAAAATCAGCATTGTGTTTTTAGTCTAACGTCTGATTAGATTGTTACAGATAAAGGGTCACATTTGGACATAAGACTTCCAACTATCAGCGCAGGATTATCGTTAACCGGCGAGTATAGAAGCCCGAGAGCGTCCAGGCAAGCATTGATCCGCAGGAAAGAGTCATTCATGGCTTCTGATAATGGTACATATTTCTGTGCAATATTTTACCAAAGTGGAAATTATGTTTCTAATGTGATTTATAATGTCACGATTATTTTGCTGTTATGTACAGCTGAAAACATTGCAGAAACATTTTATATTTGAAAAGGTGTTGTTGTATCGAAAAATTATATCAGAGATTGGTCACATAGAAATCGTCAGGTTCTCTTCGACTCTACCGTGAAAACTCGTCTTATTTCGTTCTTACTTGGTGCGAACTGTAGAAAATAATTTTTCCCAAAATTTTATCTTCATTCTTAATTCGTGTGGAATATTAAAAATAATTTTTCCTAAAATTTTACCATAAATCCATTATTATCACAAATTGCATTAAAAATTAACGACACAGAAATCGTTCAATTTCTTCGACTCTAATGTCAAGAAAGATCTTATCTCATTCTTAATTCGTGTGAAATATCGAAAGTAATTTTCACGAAAATTTCATTACAAATACACGTTTGTTAGCAATTTTCGAATTCTTCTGTAGGAATTTCCAATGTGAAAGATCGTCCAGCGAACAATTTATCGAAGAAAGGAGCGCCGAACATGGAGCCACTTCCGGAAATGCCGTCGTGCGACGATTTAGCGTCCAGCGGTGTAGAGAGTTGGTTAGATTCATCCAGCAAGTATCACAGTTGCGAGATCGTTGACGATGATTAGCAGGAGGCCTCCTTAACGCCGGACACCTTTTACGAAGGGGACAGCGATTAGTGTCCGCGTTAAGTTGTCGCATATTGTGAATAAAAAGACTGCAGTTTTTTTAAATCGAACGACAAAAACAAGTAGACAGTTCAACCGATGCGAGCAGAACCTCACCTTTGAATTATCCAAAAGTTACCCGAAAGTGGTCACGTAAGGCTGATTAATCGCGTCGTTGCGTTAACAAAACGATCGAATCGGTGCTTTTTAATCGAACAAAAACCGAGACGTCATTCCTTCGTAATTTTAGAAATGTCTCGATTCACGGTGGATTTTGGGGAAGAAGAAAGGAAAACGTGTTTTTCCATATGAAAATGTTTTTTAAATCGTGCGTTAACCCTACGTCGATCTTCGCTTGCGATTTCTATTGTTACAGATTTTTTACAATATTATTACGTTTTTTCACGTTGAACGAATGTAAGACGGTACAGTGTGTAGATAGTGTCTTAGAAATAATATTTACAATGCTTTATCGTAGACAGAAAGTAGCTTCCTATTAAAATGCTGTTCGATTAATGAGTGTCAATTAATTAGTGTCGTTATCGTACATGCAAATGGTTCGACTGAATAGGAGAAAAGGTTGAAACCTCGATATTATTACTACAACGGTAAGCAAGTTGCAATGAACTTAAGAATAATTCTGCTCGACGCTGGGTTAAACAAATTGACAAATTTGCTTTTCTAACAAAAAAGAAAAAGGAGCACGTAGGATAGATATATTTTATTTTAAGGAGAACCTTGAACGAGTAGAAATATTTTTTAAACATAGAAATTTCTAGAGGGTAGACATATTTTCATTTAAGCGTTTACACATAGTTAAATACAATAGAGATAACTTTTTCGAAGAAATGAGTATCAAAATGGAGTAATTATATTCCAAGGATATTAGCAAAGAAAAAATCAAATCACTGACAGCCTAAGTGAATGAACACCAAGATGAAAAGTCGGGAGAATAGTTACAGACGTTATGTAGCTTCCAAGAGGAAAAAGAAGTTTCAGCGTCTGTTTGGAAAATAAGAGGAAAACTCAGATTTAGTGTTCAGAACTGTACTCGAAACACATTTTCACACAATTTAGTACGAGCTAAAACACACATAAAGTCATTTCTTTTTTTTCTCTCTTTTCTAAACTAATTTTTCGAGAATCGAACTTAACGATCGTACCGCTAATTATCAGTCTCATTAACTCTACCCCACGTGTCGCTAAGTAAAACGGCAGAAAAGTGCTCTTGAAGCAACTAAAGTTCCAAGTGTTAGTTGCGAGGAAGTGCTTATGCAACAAAGTATCTAACGAGAACAAACGGTTATTAATCGTACAATTAAACCGCGCAGTATAGAGCCGAGTGTGTCTCTGAAACTGCTCCTTAGATAAGTGCACGAATTATTTTATAAAGGAGATTTTATACCGTAGAGCTTTTTCTAGATCACCGTAATTAACAATTTCCTTTCGCCTTTGTACATATAGGGCGCGGCCGAAAGTATTGCACAACCGAGCAACAGGTGGTTCTTTATGCAAAAGTAAACAATAAATGTAGAATAAAATTGTTCATCCGAGGCTTACGAAGGAACATCCCCGGAGTGATAAGCACCGATTTTTATGAAACTTTGGTATACAGTAATTCTCAAAAAAAAAAAAAAAAAAAAATATTCGATCGTTCACAGAAAAGGGGTGAAAATCGTCCTCAAAGTTGGAGGTAGTCTATATCTCGAAAATTATTAGAGACAGAGAGATAGTGTAAATTGACGAATTTTCTATTTTTCAATAACAAATTTGAAAAATAATAAATCATTTTCAACAAATGTGTTTGTTACCCTTATCCTTGAGGGCGATTTTCATCCCTTCAGTGTGGGCCTTCAGTGTGTATATAGGAGTCTTTGAATTTTATTAGGCTCGGGGTGTTTCTGACAGATGTAATAAAACATTGTTGATCAAATTCTGTCTTTGTGCTTTCTTGAACCTATTAACTCACGAAAGTCGTGTAGCAATTATATGCAATCCGTGATATTTTGTATATCGTTTAACGAACCGTTTTTTGGCGACATAAACGCCAACATACGCAACGAATTTTCAAAACTGATTTTCCCAAAAACTAAGCCTCGTATGAACACATATTTTATTTATTTTTGCACAAGCAATCATCTTATGCTCGTTTCTACAATACTTTCAGCCGCATTCTGTATACACGTATGTATCTTGTATACGATGAAATTTTGCTTTTATAGGAAACACGTTGAAATCTTCCTTGGTATAGTCTACGTATATTGTAATTAGCGTTTCATAGAGGTTTTAGGGTGTAACTGTACGTATTGCACATACACACACACACACGTACATCCAGGTAATTGGAATGTTGTTGATAAGAAACAGTTCCAAGTAAGATTTAAGTGGTTATAAATATAAAGGAGAATAAATTCGAGCACAAAGGGCTTCGTATTTTATGATGCACAAATTTATATAGGGCGCATTCTTACTTTTTTGCTAAATATTGTATAAGATCGTGTTGTATTAATATACAACATTTTTCAACTGTAAATGTACGCGAAAGGTGTTTTATTATTTAGGTATACAGGTGAGCGAGGTGATGGAACTGTTGTCGTTCAGTAGTAAATTTGCAATAATTTATCTTCATACGTCAACGTCGTTTACAGACGTTCGAGAAATTCTGCAAGTCTCGAATATCTTCCTTTACTATATTTTACAAATATTTCGTAAGCGAGAGAGTGTGTTTTCGTTAAGATTTTAAGGTACGAGGGATTGTTGCAGTAATTTGTTGAAAGTTTTTAACACTTTGCTTCTAGAACTGTTACAGTGATCTGTTGAAAATTTGTCTTCGACACGTTGACGCTGTTTTATAAATATCGACTGTGCGTTTGTAATTTGTATGTATTAGATAACGTTTAAAAACAGCAGGGTCTGGTGTACATATATGTATATGTTGTTAAATTTGCACTGTAGCGTCATACCAGTAGCAATACGGAAGCAGCTCGATCGAACGAGCCGGGATAGTTTGTAGCATTTAAATACGTGTTTTGTACAAATTTCAATTACTGTTTCCTTGTTGTCAAATGAATACAATGAACGAAAGAGCAAAACGTTTGCACGAACAGTTTGTACGGTTCATTTTCTCGACACACCATTCTCTTACACTTGCGCGTCATTCTTCAATTTTTAATTGGGGAAGGGAAGAATGTTGAACGTATGATAGATGGCGAGAGTGAAAAATGAATATTCCGCGGAGATTAATTTTTAATTAACACCGAGAGATGATAAATCGTCCGTCGTTTGTTTCCATCGGAAGTGTGTCTTGCGATTAGAAAAAATGGTGGAGAAAGTAACGAGAGACATCTTTTACTTCAAGAAGAGCGAATTTAGCTGTCGGAGTCGTTAAATTTTTTCTGTTATTTTGACGGACTTTATTTGAGAGACGACCATCATTATAACACGGAAGGTGATTTTTTAAGTAGCTGTGAATGATTCGAGATTTCACCCTTTCTCGAGATTTGTATTATTTCAACGCCTGTTGGTAAATTAATTTTTCTTAATCGACCAATCGCCTCGTCACTGCTAATATAGAGGTAATTGTAATTTCTTCTTTTATTGCAAATTTCGTTTACCCAAAGTCTTCGGAATAAGTCTCATCGTGCAAAAAGACTTGAAAAGAAGGGGAGTCAAGTAAATAAATAAAATCGAAATGAAAAGATACACAAAAACATTTGTAGTACTTGCAAAAGAGAAATTTATTTTGTTTTATTTTCAAAGGTACAGCACTCTATTATTACATCACGTCTAGATATTTCCCCACGTTTTTCCCAAAATCTCAAATTTTACATCCCTTAATTGTACATTACCTAAATTGAGTTATTACAAATTTGACATTAGGTACAGTATATTTGTAAAAATATTGACACATAGTGTACTTACAAAAGTAGTTAATTTGTTACAAATTTTACCTAATTTTACAGTTTTGCAGCTACCAAAAAATATCCAATGATTCCTTTACAATTGAATTCGAGCAAATGGAAGTTATCCGAGTTACACACTTCACGCACAACTTGAGCCGATCAGATATATCAGCAAAAACGAATATAGGGTGGCAATTAACATTTGCTTTATTATCTACCAGCTCTATCTTGTCCGAAGGGCCATTATCTAGTCCACCTCAGGCAGTGAGCCTCGAAATAGCACGAATAGTCGAAGCAGGTCTGCAGCGAAAGAAGATTGATCTGATGGCGAAATACGTCGGCTGAGCTATCCGTAAGTGTAACTACCAGCCGGGTTCACCGAAGTAGCCCAATTACCGCATCTTCGATTTCACCAACGTCAGCGGGAAATTCGTGATTCTGTCTATGAAACGTGATTCGTCTAACAAATTCTCACTTCTCGCTAATAATTCCCGAGCAGCTTTTCAAAAAAACGAAACAACACCAATTACGATACTTCCCTTTAACCGAAATTCATCGCGATAAAAATCGATCGTTCGTTTCAATCGTGTGAAATGTATCGCTGAAATCGATACGTTCGGGTATAATTCGCGAAATCATTTTTCAGCGATAAAATCGAGGCTGCGATAGAGAAAAGTGTGTGTATCGTGTAGGTAAGAGTGGGTGAAGATTAACCAAAGACAATATGCGTGAAAAATTATCGCGATTCCCAGGAGATAGACTAATTTCACGGAAATGAAACGATAAGACCGATAGTGAAAATAGCCTGTATCTCCCCGTTTCACGACTGCCTGGTATCCAAAAGTTCGCGTGACAATGTCCAATGAACTTTAGCAATGAAGCCGGGGTATTGAAATATAAAAGCCCTTATTACGTAGGGGATGATACCTAACGACACTCTTACGTTTCAAGTTATGCTTCGTTTATCAAATAACGCGTAAAAGAGATCGAGTAAAAATGAACGGAAGAAAAATACTTACCGTACTAAAAATCTAGAGAAACATACTGCCTGAATTAAAA